ACCACCATGCCTAGCGTGACCACGAAGAAGCCCACGACTGCCTACCCCAAGCCTGGTTGTGCCAAACCTACCACCATGCCTAACATCACCACGAAGAAGCCCACGACTGCCTACCCCAAGCCTGGTTGTGCCAAACCTACCACCGTGCCCAACGCGACCACGATGAATCCCACGACTACCTCCCCTTATACTACCTCGGCCCCGTACCCGACCAAATCTACCACCATGCCTAACATGACCACGATGAGGCCCACGACTGCCTACCCCAAGCCTGGTTGTGCCACATGCGACGTTTGCTACTATCCTGGCGCCGACTACTGCTTGGATGACTTCTCCAAGGACGACTGCGAATACTACAGACCTAAACATGGAACGTTGTGGTGTGGCAACTAGAGAGTTGTGGTTGTTAATGTTGCACAGACAATATACCGGTATGTTATCTTTGAAGGTAATATACGTGCTACCGATCTCATAGATTTTGGCAGCTTGCCGACTTATCCAGCTACAGTGTACCCCAGCTGTCCCCATTAACAATAAACTAGGTGTTGCTCGTATTTGTTCCTCATATAAGCATGTAGAATATGAGCTATTCGCTTCAATGTTTTTTGTATGGAGCGAGTGCAGGTTTCTGTATGTCTTGGTGAGTGTCTTTTCAAATGTCGGCGGAACACACTGATACAAACGGATAATTATCCGGGAAATACAAACGTGCACTTGCTCCGTGACACTGAGCTACGAGAGTGCAGATAATGCAACTGTGGACCTTCCTCTTAACGTAGAGAGCCAGTTAAGTTTATGGTGCACGGGACAGTTTAAGGTGCCTCAAATGCCAATGGAATTGCTTGAATTTTGGAGTAGCCAATCGAATCACATGACTGTAAGGCCGTGTTCGGAGCAAAATGGATTCTGACTCCAGAATCTAGGTTTTTGAATCCGGATTAACGTAACGAGGCAATTTATGGACACCTTTTTTGTCGAAGGTAGCTCGAAAATTTGCTGCGAATGTTGCAAATTTTATCTATAGAACTTGATTCATCAAGTTTAAGGAGGTATTGCAGCGTTAGGTGGATTTGAAGTATTGAATGTTCATTGGGTCAGATGCGCCAATTTATGGACAGGGTACTTTAGAGCATCCCCACCGGTGCGACTGTAAACGCTATTATACAGTTCTATCCGGATTATTTACAGTTTTGACAACCCCACCGGGCGACTGTAAAATTTTACCGCGAGACGCCAAATCGGCCAGATTTACAAGTCGCGACTGTAAAATATAGTTTTGACGAATTAGCCAATAACATGCTATCAATGGATAATTTTGTCCAATCATGTGCGTTATGGAGTCAATAATCAGTTGGTTCAGAAATGGAATCAGCTAAGGCCGCCGTGGTTCCAACTTCACGACCGACGAAGACTATGTACCAGCTTGTCCGGTCATGGATCAACATCTCTCAAGATGTGTCCAAGGGTAGTACTCATCACGCATCACCACACCGTCCATGATTCGTTTAAACAGCGGTCTGGCCATTCGAAAATGATGGCGAAACTTGGCTTCGCCGTAGATTGGATTGGGGTCAAAGTAGTAGGTAAATCCGAGCATGCGCAGCCTCGCTATGTCGTGGTAGGTCTGGCTGGCGGTTGGCAATAGAGCCTTTAGGGCGCGCAGAAGACTGATGAAAGCCAAGAATCTCCCAAGCTTGATCCATGGCATCATCGTCGTCCTCCCACGCCATCGCGCCAGGTGTTCATTTCCGGATAATAACATTATTCGGATGTTTTACAGTTTTACAGCTGGTGTTGACAAAAATCAAAATACAGGAACTGTAAAACGGTATTTTACAGTCTGATTATACAGTCGCACCGGTGGGGATGCCCTTATACGGAGTACTCAATTTGACTAACTGTAAACTAAAAGTTCGTTCGATTCGATTGTCCAATGTAAACAAATATAAGATGTCACAGTATATATAAGCAATCAAAGGATATAGAATTTAAACGACCAGTCAACTGTCGACCACGTCGTCACAAGGTGCACACTCCGCAATGTCAACATCCTGACCACCAAGTAAGCTCAGAAACGTTCCAGTGCTGATCAAGGTGGCGCAGCAAGGTCATGTGAGGTATATCGTGCAGTTTCGCGGCGGCAGCAATGCTGGAGCCATTGTCACTGGCTTCGATCGCGGCTTCCATAGCGGCCATATCGTATTGCTTGCGTTTTGAGCTCATGATGTCAAATGCAAAAGTGATGAGTGATATTATGAGCTTCAGATTTTCGCGCCATGGTGCCGCGCCTCCGCTATTGTTCGGATAATTGATTCTCTTTGAATTTATTTCTGTGTGCAATATTGGTTACAAAAGTGTTTCAGTATTAGTGTAAGTTGAACTTGATTTTGATTGGCTGGTGCACCCCGTCCATAAATTGGCGCATGCCCATAAATTGACTCGTTACGTTATGTCAAAGAGTTGCACCGAACACGATTGGAACTCTGCCACCCAAATGCCGAAAAATTACAAGAACACTGGCATTCTATTGGCCACATCCTGGTCATTGGACTATATCATTGGTCTACATTGGTTTTTGCTCATTTTTATTGGCTCCACTATCTATGACTGCTCTTTGTAGGCATTTTGACAGCGAAGTACAATGCTAATCAAGTATTCTGACCGAAAAGTTGCAGCACGTCATGCACGAAAATCGGCCATGTAACGTTAGACGCTTTCTTGGCGGCGATTGCGCCGGGTTTACAGAATACGACGCGTTCCGCTGCAAGCGTAGTGCGCGATTATAGCGTGATCCTAGACGAAGATGACATGTAGCTACATATCATATAACTTTACTGGAGGGCAAGATATCCACTTCACAATTCAAGGTCCATTCGATGGTACAGCGACTTCGTAGCGGGTTTTGACGAACATATTCAGTTGTGCAAGGAGATATACAAGTACCGACTTCTACAAGGATGAGATACAAGTAACTGCGTGTGCTAAGTTTACGTAGCTTTTGTCAGTTGCATATACATCAGTTGTTGGCTCAGCGAGTGCGGAGCCCATTCAGCGCTGCAGGAATATAATTTATCTCCCACGAAGATGAATACGGTCTTAACTGGTTAAATAGTTGGCGAAGAAGCACCATGTGATGGGCCACTTGATCACATGTGGTCACGGCTGCGACTTTCCTTCCATCACTGTCAGTACTTCCGTCCTTCCCAGTACTCGGAGTTTAGATTAATCACCCCGAAACCCCGGAAACCCCAAACTCCGAGTACATGAACACAAAGTATTTCTGAAAAGCAGAATACCAAGCAATCCCTCCAAGAAACCATCAAAATCGATTTTGAATTCGCAAGGTGACCTGCCTTGCGAATTCCAAAAAGAGACAGACACATGAAAAAGAAATCATCAATACAAACTTGAAGATATATTTTATTGAAACTATACAATTTCAGAATTATTTATGGAATTCGCAAGGTGGTTCACCCTGCGCTTCATACAAAATTGCCTATTTCACCTTGCTTTTTCTGGTTAATGATCATATATTGATCCCACTCGAAGAAAAAGTAGGCCTTGCATTGTATTTCAGTCTACGACAAAGTTTTGCCGAGGGCAAATGGTGGCTCGAAGTAAACTGCGCACGATTGAATCATGGCCACCAGG